AAAAAAAAAAAACACACATAAACTTAACGGTGAATTATTGCAGCTTCGATCATGATAAAACGCTTACACTTATTATATACTATATCAAAAAATTTCTATCTACCTTATATGGATTAGTTGTAATCCACGATAAACCTCGATCACAGTAGAGCAGGCATCGTACTCATTCTCACTGCTTTTTGAAGTTTTAAAAATTCAAAAACTGTTACAGACGTGATCGTCGACATTTTGTTACGCGATTGCTTATTGTTATAATTTATTTCCATGTTTTCTTTCTTCGGTTACTGAATGTTCCTTAAAGAAAGGAACAGATTTGGTCCACGTTTGGTAACAGATAATATAGCATAAATACAAATAAGAATCCTTCCTTTCGTAGGTTTGCTAAATAATTACAATTAATCGTAAGATTACAAATACTTCTAAAACGTGTAGGATACGTGCACGACTCTTTATATATTTAATTACATTTTTACACTTAAACAATTAAATTTAGCAAAAGTACAAAATCCTGTCATTTTAATTGCAGTTATACGAAAATAAGAACATAAATATATTTCTTTCATTATCGCTGATATTGTGGGATAACTTACCAAATAAAATCGAAACTACCCCCCATTATCGCACATAATCAATCCTCGCTTATCTCACACACCAAACCCACGAACAGAAAAACGCAACTCTCATCTGTAAACCCTAGTTTCCAGATCATGGCTAAAACCAAATTGCCTCCCACAGCAGGCGACCCACCAACTGCCGGTGCCGGTGTTGATGCACACAGACGATCGAGCACTCGTATCAAGCAAATCCTGGCTAGAGATAAAAGTAAACTCATACAGAAAAAGCTCGATTTCGAAAAGAACATGAAGCAAACTGGAACAAGAAAGGAACTCGGCAAATCCCGACCCATTAGGCACAGCGCCAACCCAGATTCCGACGACTTTCAGTCGGACCATGGCGAATTTCATCACAAAGATGCTCGAAGACCTCAAAAAAGAAAGATCCCAAATGAGACTGAAGCAGAAGAGTCGCGAGATCCAAATTATCTTGCTGAGGATGAAACTAACGCTGTAGTAGATGACTCTGAAGGCAACTTGAGTGATGAATATGAGGATGAGCAAATATCGGGGATGAAATTCAGTAAAAAAAGGAAGGATGGAATACAGGAAGGACGTCATTTCAAGAAAAAGAGGACAAAAGATATCAGGGCTGTAGGAAATACAACTGGGGATGCTCCTATAGGCAAAGTATTCAAGGTGAACTAGCATTGTTGAAAGTTATCTGTTAATTTCATATATTAAGTTCCTACTTTATAAAGTCAAAATATTGTATTTTCAATATAATGTGGTCCCATTGTTGACGAAGTTCATTTTCGTTGATATAAATTTGACGAAAAAGTTGGTCCCACTGAACCCTTTACAATTGTTGAAGAATGGTCTTTTGTATTCATGTTTGAACATGGTTTGTTTGTCTAGTGTATATCTGTAGTTTATCAGGATGCTGCTAAGTAAAAAAATACTGTTATTCCAAAAATTTATATTATATCATGTTTAAACATGTCTATGCTGAATATATTATGATTTTTTTTTTATGTAAGTGTAATTTGTGTGTAGTTCAGTTGTCTGTTTGAACATTATTTGAACATGGTATGTACAGTATATGTTTGAACAATATATGTACACTATGATCTTTTGTAAATTTTATTTTATGTATAAAGGTCTTTTGTAGTCATGTTTGAACATGGTTTGTCTGTCTAGTGTATATTATATCTGTAGTTTATTTCAAGGATATGCTAAGTAAAAAAATTACAGATATCTCAAAATTTTATATTATATCATGATTTTTAAAATGTATATGCTGTATATATGTTGATTTTTTGGTCATGTAAGTGTAATTTGTGTGTTTAAGTCCTAGTTCATCTGACTAGTTTATTTCACGAGTTTGTGTAGTTCACTTGTCTGTTATTATAATATTAACTCACACAGCATATGAATATCTTTAGTTTACTTGTCTGATGAGCATATGAGTAGTCTATTTCATATTTACTTATATGTGAATTCACTTTTAATGTGAGATTAGTTCTAAGTGCATATGTATATGTTAGTTTAAATCACTCCTGAGTTTCTTGACTTTATATATGTATGTATATATATACATACATCAATATATATATATATATATATATATTTTATCCATGTCAACTTGTATATGTCTCAATATTCTACTCCTGAATTTGGTATATGTACAATATATGCGGAACATGTCAGATAGTGTTTATGATTGGTAACCTGTTAAAATCAAAATATGTCATAAATTTTATTATTGTTAGATCAAAAATCATTATATGTTTAGTTCTGGTCACCACACAAACTAATATTTGAAGGTTTATGTTTGTTATGTACAATGTTATCATATTGTCACATCAACTTATGTTATTTCTTGTAGGAGTGGGAATTGATCATACCAAATCCCAGGGATTTAAATGTCAAGGTTCTAAACAGTAATGACAACAGCAGAGACGATTCGACAATAGGTGAAATCAAGCGAATGCTTTCAGCCGAGCAGTTAGATTTGTTTAGAGAATCTGCATTTGGTAAGTTCTTGGATCTACCACACTGCAAGGTTCAAAACCAGCTTGTCAATCAGATTCTTTTACGTGAGGTGCATCAACCAAGGAGCGACGAGCTTTGGCTTGACTTTGGGGGGAGGTTGTTTCGGTTTGGCATCGAAGAATTTGCCCTGATAACAGGGCTGAAATGCACAGGCCCTTGCAAGAAGTTGAATATTCCTCAAGTAGCAGATGGAATGTACGAGAAATTCTTTTCTGGCGTCGGATTAAACAGAAACTTCATCCGATGGCAGTTTCTACAAAAATACTGGAAAAACGATGAAGATGCTGTTAAATTTGCCAAGTTACACTTACTTGCAAATTTTTTAATTGGGTCGCAAGACACTCTTAAGGTAGACAGATGCTACCTTGACATGATAGACAGTGTCGATTGTGACGATTTTGATTGGGGAACCGAAGTGTTTAAGTTCACGATGCACCATCTGAAGAAATCCACCCAATATCGACAACAGATCCATAAAGCCGGGAAAACAGTGAGTGGTGGCTACCTCTACAGGTGCTACGGGTTTATCCTTGCCCTCCAACTTTGGTTCTATGAGGTTTGCACCTCTGCAGATGGTGTCATTTGCACATGCCGAAGCAGAAATGACATGCCTAGAATGCTCAAATGGGAAGTACGTGGCAGTCACAATCGTGCCTTTATGCAAAGAATATTTTCAAATTTGGATTCCAGCAAGGTAATAGCTATATATGTACGTAATATTTTTCAATATAGGATATCTATGTTCCTGTATTCATTTAAATACCCCCATAAACTAATTTCTTAATTTTCTTTTTCTCTCTGCAGTTCAAGAACTTGATACCCACCGACGAAGAGAAACACACTTTGTTTATCAATGATTGTTTCAAGAGCAAGAATGAGTTTAATCGTGATGAAATCCCGACAACCGAACACCATCAGCATAAAACTGAATCAGAGGTCATAAAACGTCTTGACACACTTACTAATGAGGTTGAAACTCTGAAGCAAATGTTCCTTGACTTTTCCAACCGGGTATTTGCAGAATTTGCCTTATTTAAGGAAAAATTCAATGTAAGTACATATTTGTCAAACTACAATAATTCTGATAAATGTTGCAAGTATTTTTTTCTTTTATATTCAGTTTATAATGCCAATAAGATTTTTTATATTCAATATAATATTTCTGATATATGTTATATACAATCTAATATATGTTATAATAATTCTGATATATTATATACAGTTTTTTTTATAATAGTTTATGATGCCAAGAAGGTTTTTTATATTCATTATTATAATTATGATATATGTTATATAAAATATGATATACTATATACAATTTTTTTTTATTATATGAATAGTCTATATCATGTTTATGTATACATATATTCATATATACAAATGTACACACATATATATATATATATATGTGTGTGTGTGTGTAATTGTATATGTCTCAATATTTTCACTCCTGAGTTTGGTATATGACTCAATATATATTTTGGAATCCATCTTAATTTTTTTTTATATTCATAATTACATTAGGTTGGTGAAAATAAAGATGGAAATGTTACTGATGAAGCAGCTGCTGGAATTGACACTGGACCTCGTGTAATGGATGAAGCCCCTTATACAGATGAAGGAATTCAAACGGTCGGTTGAATCTTAATAAATGTGTTTTGTACTATTAAATATTATTGTTACATATATATAAACTTAATATTATTATAATGTAACAGAAGGACTATCCAAAGACATCAGATGTAGTTATCGATCAACCGGGACAGGTTACCGCGCTCTTACAAAATACACGTGTTTAGTTTTATACATTTTTCTTTAAACATGAACAAATTGTTTATAATATAATTCAAGGTTTCTGTACTTTATATACATTAAATATTTCCTTTTTTTTTCTTTTTGTTTGGCTCTTAAACAGAATTCTCCCGAGCCTACTATTGTAGCAACAAGAACTAAATCCGAAGCCCTAATGAAGCGTGCCGCTGATCGAGTATTTTAAAAAAAAAAAAACTCTAATAGCTTATGTTGTGTATATATCATATATATATATATATATTGTATCTTTTATTTTCATGGTATTATATACATTACTTATTTCTTTTTTTTTTCTTTTTTTTTTACCCTTTTAAACAGAATTGTCCCGAGACTACTGTAGTAGCAACAAGAACTAAATCCGAAGCCCTAATGAAGCTTGCTGCTGATAGAGTATTTAATAACAAAAAAAAAACTAATAGTCTATGTTCTGTATATATACATATATATATGTATATATATAATATGTTTAATTTTCTAAGTTTTTTGAAAGAAAATTATATACAGTACTTATGTCTTTTTTAATTTTTCTCTTTGTTTGGCTTTAAACAGAATGTTCCCGATCCTACTATAATGGCAACAAGAACAAAATCCGAAGCTCTAATGAAGCACGCTGCTGATCGTGTATTTTTTTTTAAAAAAAAATGAATTTATTAGTTTATGTTGTGTATATAACATATATATGTATATATACATATATATGTTTGTATATCTTTAATTTTATTGATTTTTTTGAAAGAAACTTATATTACCGATTTCAATCAGATCTGTGAGCCATCTCCACCAGTCGGCGGAGATATGTTTGATCAAGCTGACATATTTTCTCCGCTCACAACGCAATTTCTTGAGGAAGTTGATAGAACTACGGAGGAAAAATTGAGGAATGCATCAAAGGCCAATGAACCGGTAATAATCATGTTAATTATGTTCACTATAGTAAGTATAACTAAACCATCAACGCAAGTTGGTCTATATATTATTCTAATGATTTATTTTTGGATCTAATTGTTTAGGATCTAGCACCTCCCAATGTTGATGTCCAGATGGTGGCAGATTTTGGAAATGCGTTGATTATTTCTCAGCCGTCCTTTGATTTAGGTCTCACACCCATAGACACATCAAGACTTATCAACAAACCACCACAGGAAAATCCATTGGTCAAATTTTATTTATATTTTGATTCGAATAATACAAAAAACAATCATTTTCATTACAACACATATATTTAACCTTTTTTTTTTCTTTTTTCCAGGAGATCACTACAAAAGTTGTGCACGAGGTGGCAACTGGAGAACTTGGAAAGACAATCGAAGCAGAACCTTCTTGCTACGACGTTGTACTCGTAACAAACCCACAAACCACGCATATGGGGACTTCAAAGATAACAGAAAAACTCAAGAAACGCCGTTGTGTGAGGAAAGGAATTCCGCGAACAAAATCGTGTCCGTTTGACGTTGATTTTTGGGAAGAACCTGAGCGGGGAAACGATTTTGTGAAGTGGTATATGACGGGCATGCTCAAGACAGCGCGCAAGTTTAAAGACGGGTACGAAACAAAAAAATTTGAGATAAATAAAAAATTATTTTTTGCAAATATTATCTTGTCAGTATATGTACAGTACATATATTTTTCAGATTGGTGAATGATTTCCTTTAATATTATTTAATTTTTATTACTAGTCTAATACGGATATTATTTCTTTTAGGGGCAGGTTATGTTCAGTATACGTAAAATTTAAAGTCAGTTAGATCTGTGTTCATAGGCAGTTTTCGTAGAAATTTTATTTGCAGTTTATATGTAGTTTGTGTTCAGTATATGTACAACTTTGAACATTATATGATCAGTCTATAATCATGTTATGACAACTTTTTACAACTGTTCAGTTATTGCAGCATATGCACATTATATGAACAATTTATGGCCAGGTTATGTACATTACACATATAATCTGATGTCAATTACAATTGGTTTTATAGACAGTTTATTGGCCACTATCTTTGATGTTTATATATTGTTTCTGTTCAGTTAAAGTGCAACTTTGAACCCCCTGTTTATGGCTTGTTTGAATAAAAATGTGTATGTGCAGGATATGAATGTTGTATGAACACATTATATTGACATTTCATATAGTCAGTGTATCTTGTCGATGGACGAACTATTAAACGTATCTGAGGTGTAGATGTTTCCAGTATTTGAGACATCATACTATCTAATATAAATTAACATATCTTTTTTATTGCTTGTTTATGTGCCGTCTATCACTATTTATAATTATTCTGACGCCACTAATCAATTCAACAGGTACATTCGCTATGGTGTGAGAACAAAAGTTCTTAACCCCCCGTTTGATTTTAATGTTGCCGTTATATGTGATAAAAATTGGTTTTGCACCCTTTACGAGTCAGGGTGCTTCCTTGATAGCAGCGTAAGTGTTAACAAATTAATATTCCTTCATTTCTATCATTTCGGTTATTCATTCTTTCATATGTATATACATAATTATCTGTATATTAGTATTATTCTCTTGGTTTTGAATTATTTTTCCATTGACAGCACATGGATGTCTTGTTCTACTACCTACGGAAGATTGGTGTGCATGGTACTAGTGCTGAGGTTAGGTATACGACGACTGATGTGATGTTTGACCAACACATAAAGTCGTTATATGCTATATACCTGTCACAGTCCTGCAATACTGCTCTATGCAGTGTTCATGATATTATCACTGACTACATTTTGGGTTATAGACTTATATGCGGAAAGTCATGGTTTGATGTTGATCATATCTTGTTTCCAATGCACGTAGAAGTCAATGGTATTGGTCATTGGATACTGGGTATATTGACGTTCAACAATATGAAGTTTTGGGTTTATAACTCATACCGGTCAGTTGAAGTTGATGAGATTGTTCTAGAAAGTGTGCAGGCGTATGTTAGATTGCTTCCAATATTTCTTGCCCTGGTGAAATTTTATGAAAAAAGGACTGATGTCAATACTAATGCTGGGGGTCGCATACCAATAGACGTTAACAGTCCATTTGAGGTTTTGATGGCTGCCAACATCCCACAGCAAATGGAGAGGTGAGTAGAATCAACCAGAAAATATAAATTAAAAAATTTAGCGACCTTCTGTTAAATGTTCGGATTGTAATCATGTATTTTTATATCTATTAAATTGCAGCGATTGTGGTGTTTTCGTTGCATCTTACGCTGAGCACTTCATAACTGATGTTGACATTACTACGAAGAAGTTCAATGTTGATATCGAGAGACAAAGGTATACCTACTTGTTGTACACGCACGGTAGAACGAAGCAGAGCAATGGTTATCAAAGTGATGATGAACCTCCCGGATCAATGCCCGATGATGTCCGTTTTAGTCTATTAGCTTGACCATTGATAAGTATTTGAGGAAATTATATGGTGCACGACTCTTTATATATTTAATTACATTT